GCAAAGACTACATTCTAGCAGGAGACAGACAATAAATATTTAGTAAATGATAAAGTGAGATAAAAGGTGAAGTACGAAGGAGAACAAAAAAAGGCCATCAAGTAAGGAGTACTGGAAGAGCCAGGAGGGCTCACTGTGGCATTAATTAGGGTACGCTTCAACGATGAGGTGATGTTTAAGCAAAGAAAGGAAGGCAGTGAGGGAGTGAGCCAAGTGGCCACGGGAGGAGTGTATCAGTGGAGGAAACAGCTCCTGCAAAGGCCTTATGGTGGGACAGTGCTCAGCGTGTTTGAGGAGCAGCAAGGAAGCCTATAGTTTGAGTGTAGTGAAGAAGGGGAAGTCTACTTGAAAATAGGGCCAGCTCACACAGGGCATTGTAGGAATTCGGGCTTTTACTATAAGTGAAATGAAGGGCATCAGAGGATTCTAAGCAAAAGAATGACATCATATGACTTGTTTAAAAGGGTCATTTTGGCTGCTCTATTGGGAATAGAGGGCAAAGGTAGAAGAAAGATGACCAGGAAAGAGGCAGAAATTCAGATATGATGGTGACATGGATAAGGTGGTAGTGGATATGGGGCAGAAAAAGTTTGAGTTTGGGGTATGTATGTGTATTTATATTTATATTTATATTTATATACCGGGGGTGCCAAAAAAACATATACACGTGACTTGTATTCATCTTTTGTTATCTGTGTATATTGAGTATTACAATTTTAATAATTTTTTTCCTTTCTTAAAATGTGTATACATTTTTTGGGCACCAACAAGATTTCCTGATGGATAAAATGTAGGCTGTGAGAGAAGGAGACTGGAAGAATCTAAATGCCTTTAACTGGGATAAAGAAACCAAAAGAGCAGATTTGGAGGGAAAGAACACAAGTTCAGTTTTGGACATTTTGAGATTTTTTTTTTTTTAGACATCTAAGGGAAATACTGAGTAGGTATTTGAACAGTAAGAGTAAAGTTTGAAGAAAAGATCTAGGTTAGAGGTACAAATTTGGTAGTTAAAGTATATAGATAGCATTTAGAACCATAAATATATATGAGATCATCAAGTGCAGACAGGAGGGAGCAGAGATCCACAAATGAGTTTCAGAGGAGCCCCAATATTAAGAGGCTGAAGAGATGAAACAGTACAAGTAAAGGAAACTAAGAAGGAACAGTCAGTGAGGTAGAAAATCCAATAGATTGTGGGCTAGTGGAAGCCAAGCGAGAAAACTATTTTAAGGAAAGGGAAATGATCAACTAGATCAAATGGTGCTATGACATAGGCAGAGCAGGTTACATCACATTTCTTTTTACAAATGCAGAGAACTTAAACCTCAGAGAATTGGTTTGTCTGCGATCTTCTAACCCTTAGGTATGTTACTTGTCTCAGTTCATGACCACAGAATCTTTGCCACTAGGCTGGAAAATGTTTCAGGAACTTTCTTCTACAAGTTGATGGAAACTATAACAGAAGAGTGAATGGAGAAAGGAAATGAACAGGAAGATGAACTCAACAGAGGAAAGGGGAGGGGTAGGACCTGCATATTAAAAGGGTGGAATAAGAGTACAGATTCTATAAGAAAAGACAAAGAACCAGGATTAGGGGAGGAGGGTCCTTTAAAGCCAAGAAAAGATACAAGTTTTAAGGAGAAAAGCTTAGTCAATAGAGCAGAATATTGCACAAAATCAGTAACCGGTATTAATCAGTGATTTTCTAAGAGTTGTTTTAGTAGAATGTTGGAGATAAAAATATAACTATAAGGGTTACAGGTTGGGTGGGTAGTAAGAAGAGAAAGGATAGGCAATTCTTTAATGAAGTTTGATGATGAAGGGAAGAGACTTAAGGAATAAGGAAAGGTTTTACTTTTCATTAATTGGAAACCTGAGCATGTCTACAAGAAAGAGGCGAGAGCTGAGGAATTTAATATTTAAGGCATAGATTCTACGTGCAAAAAAGAAGATGCCTTATTCAGTAAGATTGCAAAGAATATAACAGAGTTGGAACTGAGAACTCAAGCGGAAATTAATTTTGGAAAAGGGAAATGACAATACAACCCCAAAGAAGAATAGGTTGAATGAAAATAAAGATATTTTGAGAAGAGAAGGTGAATGTGATAGAGCTGTCAGACTGGTCTAAGTCTTTCATTAAAACAAGAAGTAAATTCAGTCATCAGCCAGAAGTGAGCGAAGGAGTCCAAGGAGAACAGGTTAAGTATGGAACAGCTATTCTTACAGTTTTAGCTCTTTCACTGATCTCGTCAAAGAGAATGAACAATAAAGGTATTAAAAAAAATACAAAGCCAAAAAATATTTGAGCTGCACTGTGGGCCCTGTTGAAGTGAGCTAGTCTTAGCTCTACCATGTCTGTGTTATAATTATCAATATACTTGTTTATATCCCCATAAGATTATAAATTATGTAAGGGCAGAAAATATTTATCTTGTTCATCACTTCACCTCCACAAGCAAACGGAATTCAATGAATATTTCACAAATAAACGAATATGTAATGGACACAATCCAGATATTGTTAAAAATTCCTTAATGGTTAGTGTTTGATAAATATGACTGATAGATTAAAAATGTCCTTGGCTGATATTTAAGGTGTCTTTTTAGGCCCATAAAAGATATTGCACTGCCCTTTTAAGTCAAAGATAGAATCTGTTCAATAAATTAAAAAGGCATCAGAGATAAAATTCATTACTTTAGAAAAATGCACCAATCAGGTTTTTTGGTTATGGTCAGATTAGAGTCTGAATCTGACCTTTAAGCTACTTTAATAAGAATTAATTTATCTTAATTACTTTTATCTTAATTAATTTTGGTAAATAAGATATTCTATACAAATGAAGTTTCCAGATATTTGAAATATCATTCTACCATTGAGAAACATACTTTTATATCATTTTGGAAGAAAATCTTTTTAAAAGTGCATGTCACGTATTTCTTGCCATCCAAAACAGAGCTGAATGAAGACGATTTAACCTTTTCTTAAAAATGTGGGAGTCACTACTGTGATATCAATTATACCATATATAGTTGCAGAGGGCTGGGTTATATGAGAGCTATAAGCCTCTACTCTGAGTAGACCTACACACCTATACTTTTTAATTCCTGTTTCTTCAGTTGCCCTGGTTTTGCTATTATCAAAGTGCTTGTCCACCTTTTGTTACTCTGCTCTGGAGCAGGCAAGGAAATGAATGTGTGCTAAAACTGTCTCAAGAGTGACTTTACCACTGAACATTCTTTTGTACTATTTAGATTTACCAACATGTGCAAATGTTATTTTCATTAAAGAGGGGGAAGAGACAGCTTTTGTGAATGTGTGTGTAGCGCAAAAAGATTTGGAATGGGGATTTACAGGCTGCCTCTCTATCTAATATGTACGAGGTTTTAGAGCACAGGTTTAGTTACCTGCCAACCAAGATATCTGTCTACCCTTTTATTTACTTCTTTATTATTATTTTGCTTTCATTCTGATTTTCAGCTATACTTCTAACAACTCAAAGTTGCCAAATAAGCAGTTGTTCTAACTAGTTCTATTCCACAACCATTAAACTACTATAAAAATACAAAAATAAAAATAACCCAAGTACCAATTTTAACTATTTAGTTAAGATTTTAAAAACGTGAGTGAATGTGGGTGAGACGGGTTAATTAGTATTGGCAAAGTATAATAATAATGGTTAGTATTTTTATAATGTACTCAATGAATATTTTTAAAAAAGTTTACCTATAAACATAAATCAATGCAGGTTTATTCCATATAAGTCTTTTCACTGAATATAATGGTACTGCTGTTTTCAATATGATGTTAATTGTTTTGCAGATCCCTATCTGCCTGCATAAGCACAGATGCCAAATTATGATTTCATAATAAAGCAGTCTTTTAAAATACTTCTATATTCCCAAAGAAATTCTGGCATGTTAAAATCCATCTGATTGTTCTTGAGTATTATTTTGTTTTCACCCCAAATTCTTATCGAATATTTTTTCTAAAATACTGAATATTAAGTTGAAAAAAAAAAACAGCAAACATTATAAGTACTCAGCAGAACTGAAATGAACCAAGTATTTTCCAATAACTTTCACACAAGCTAAGGAATATAAATTTGAAACAGAAACAGGATATAAATGTTACTGCTGATCTAGAAGTAGTTAAAAAAATTTAAAACATGAGTTTTTAAAAAAGGAGATGATCTTTTAAAAAAGGAGAATGCTTAAGTTCCAATATTAAGCTAGTCGTATAATTTAGAGAAAACTTAGATAACATAGCTGTTAAGATTTTTATATCAATTTTTTGAAATAAGGCAGAAGTATATTTTCATTATATATCATGTACCTTCCTCAATATATCTGTGGGAAAAAACTGCCAATAAATCAACTCCTAAATTCAGAGGCTATCTGTTTAAAAACGAGCAATGAAAAAGTTTCTGCTAAAACCTAAGTATACATGTAGAATGCAGACTTTTCTGTGCTTTTCTATATAAGGTTGCAACCACAGCAAACTAATTATGTTCTACAGCAAAGGCATATGAAAGCAGGATAAGAATCTTGTTTCGCTGCTACAAATTAGAACTCTGGAAATCGCTACAAGGCTCACAGGGCAGAATCGTCATAGAACGAAAACTCTAGAATCTGTAGACTGTATCTTATTTTTTCTCAAGTGGGAAAAACAGCCCAGGGTTAATCCAAAACAAAACTATCTTAAGCTAAAATGACAGAGTTCATTACAATCCCCAAATATTAAAGAGAGCTCTTAAAAATATAACTTGAATGAGGGTCATGAACTGGTTCAACATACTTCACTGGTGATTTTATGAATTATAATGAATGCTGCTGGTCTCTAGAAAGGAATGTATCAAAGAGGAAATAGCCTTCCTGGCATGCTGACAGCTATACAACACATTAGTTTCATTACTTTCAAATGTCAGTGCTGGATGCTCAGAATAAGTCATTGGGAAGAGGACTTCAGCCACAGCAGCAAGCAGGTCTACTGAGCAGATAACGGAAACAAGCAAATAAGAGGTAAGTATTTAACAAGTAAATATAGAGTTAATCTAAAGGTTTTTTTTTTCCCCTTTCTTCAAAAACTCTGCTACCATAATCTTTCATTTCTATTCAGAGTTTTAAAAACTAAATGAAAATTTTATCAATGTTAAAGGGGGGATTTTTAATATAGGATTTGTAGATTTTTATGAATAAGTGGTTTAATCTTCCTCTTAGCGTCCCGTCCTTTCCAAGGAAACTGAGAAAGTTAAGGAAAACAATTACTACTTAAACAAAAAACTGGTTCAAATTTGGCATAAAGTGATAAACTTTATGAAAATATCTGTTGCAGAAACCTGCTTTCTTTGAAAGATGAAATTACTAAAAACAATTATTTGGGTCCTAAGTAATATCTGGTTTTTTTTTCCTTCTCTCAAACAAACTAAAGGTGTCCTAAAATGCTTTATGAAAATAGCATTTGTATCTGTATTAAGATAAACCTGGTCAGACAAAACCCAGCTACGAATAAGGATTCCTAGCTGGTAAATCATTTATTTAGACCTTTGGCGGCTGGGAGTGCTTCTAGGTGTGTGGCCAGTGCGTACCAAAACGCTCTACTCAGAACTATTTAGTGCTTTGATGTTTTTATTCTTCCGTACATATTTCTAAAGTAAAGGGAAAAAAAGACATTCAAGGGTTAGGAAATACCTCTAACCATTGAAAAAATTACTGTGTCTCCTGTTTTGTTAATTGAGGCATATAAGGAATATGTTTGTGGGAACTGGCTGCACTGTCACAAATGCACAAGAGACCTATTGAGAAGGCAGAGGGAGGCTACTAAGTCCAAGCATTTTTTTTAACTGTTTTTTGAAAATAAAGAAATAATATAAGGCAATCCACATACTTGACATCTAGGGTAATTTTCTGGTATTTAAATTCAAACATAACTCTACCACTATCGGGAAAAAAAAATGAGAAACTAATAAATAGTCTTTTTTCACAGCTATCGGGTTCTTTCACTAAACCTTCCGAAATCCGAGACTCTGCAGAATACTAAACCCTTGGTCCTTACCTACAGACATGGACAGATGCATGTACGCTCTCATTTTAGAGAACCTGAAATTTTTTTTTAAAGGAAGGAGTCAACTTTGGCTTTGAGTATTTGGCATGGGTACAATGCCTTAGAAAAGCAGATGACCAGCTTAGCTACTGACCATGCTGACCACTGTCCGGAATCGGATCAAATCACAGAAAAACAACCAATGGCTTTCTCTTATAGAATATCTAAACAAAGCACAATTCCTGAGCACATTTTGCAGAGCTCATTTGATCACTTAATCTCTTCTAACTGGTCTGGATTACCAGAGTCGATGCCAGAGGAAATGAAACAGATTGGTGAGGAACAGGGAAATAAACCTCGCTGGGCAGCTCTTCTGATACTCATGGTGATAATACCTACAATTGGTGGAAATATCCTTGTTATTCTGGCTGTTTCACTGGAGAAAAAGCTGCAGTATGCTACCAATTATTTTCTAATGTCCCTGGCAGTGGCTGATTTGCTGGTTGGATTGTTTGTGATGCCGATTGCCCTCTTGACAATAATGTTTGGTAAGTATTTCACTTTGTTCCTGTCATCAAATCACAGAACTATGATATACTATTAGAGAAATGAATACTGATTTAATCTTTAAAGATGGACCTGAACTATTTAAACATACAGTGAGTAAACAGTTCATTTTTCATCATTTTCTATGGTTGATAGTTTTAAAGAGAATTTTACTCCTTCCTTAGCCATCTAATAAAATCATTTAAAAAGTCATCCATGTTAGCAATATTCATAGATTCTTTACACATTACCTAAAAATTACAGTGACGAAAAGAGCTATATTTTAACTGCCATTATTAATACCTTTTTTTCTTGACAAAGCAATAGCTAGGACATTTCTGTAACATCTATGTATGTACTGGGTTAGTTATTAATGATAAGGTCTATGAATCACTAAATTCTAATTTAAATCACTAAACCCCAATTTTAAATTGGAATTTTTCTAAAAATTCTCATTATAGGTATTTATAGTTTGTGTACTTTAGACTTAAACACAATTCTTACACATGTGTCATGTTAAGAAAAAATTATGTTTAGTTGCTGAAGAAAATGGTCTGGCTCAGAGTGTCCTAAGAGATGAGCCATCTGTTTAATTTTTATGGTTTCTGACTACCCATATCCTTTATATATGTAAGAGGAATCAGACCTCTAGGTTAGTAAAAATATGACCAACACCTGAGTTATTACAATAATAAAAAATACTGCTTGAAATTGAAATCGTATGTTATAATAAAAAAGATAATACTAAAATGATATAACTTGTTTCTGATTCATGCATATTATATCAGTTATAGAATTTGAGTAAACACAAATAATTCTGCAGATGAATTATAAGGGCTCCTAAGTATTAGCATTAAGAGGATATTTAACTTATTCAATTTTTGGAGTAAATTGATATTCCATTCATTAAATGTTTAAGAAAAATGTCTTCTTGGATTTATGTTCATATGGTGACGATAAAAATATTATGGTTAGTAGAAGTAAAATTTATTTAACTAGAGTGCATATTAGGAGGTAAAGAAAAACTGCCATTCAAACCATTATATTCAGGCTGAAATGAAATGTTACATTTTTATAAGTAAAATATAGAGAGATTATCTAAAATTAAGCACTTGATCCCCCAAATATAATCGGATGGTGACGAGTTGAAACTTCCCATTCTAAATCAACATTTATCCAGGCTTTAAATTCTGTGGCAGAGCAAGCAGTAACGAATACGGCTCTACTGCCTTAATAGACTCTCTAATCATTAATACTGTCTTTCTAACTATCCTCCTCCCTTTTATAAATTTATAATCTTTTGAATAATCTAGTGTGACACATAACTATTGAAAATAAGAAATCTTGGCCTTTTGAGTATTTTGAGCCTTGCCCTCTGCTCAGGGCTGGAGTGCACTTTCTTTTCTAATAATGGCCCTTGAGACATTCTCTACTGCTTGGGCCCGCTTCTGCTTCTTTGAAATGTATTTTTTCTAATAACTCCTTTTCTGCAACTTAAAAAAAAAAAGAAAAAAGAAAAGAAGAACTCTTACTCTAAGGGACAGCCTAAACAATCTTGATTCTAAATAAAGTTTAAAAGAAATAAAGTAAGTGAGGGTTATGTAGGAACATTTATGCATATTTAGTAAAGACTGTACAGGCATTTGATGTAAGCTCTTATCTCCACACATACAACAGTAGCTTAACATGTGTGTAAAATCATACTCCTTTAACTGTGCTTTGCTAGGCATACAGAAAATGTTAAAATGCTCATCTCATACTACCGTAAAATTTAATTGATATGTTATGTTAAATAAATGAGATTGAATGAGTTACACAGAAGTGAATTTTAATTAAAATTCATAAGTCTATAAATATCAAACACCTACTATATGTAAAATACTGTAGTAATTAAATTATCAGCGAAACAGTCAAGGAATCTTAAAAGGCAAAGTTCCATAATATTAAAGTGAGCTGAGTAACAAAACATAAAAACAGGTAAGAGAGATAATTCCATGTATTCCACAGGAAAATAGTAGGAATACCGTACCGTATTTCCCCATGTATAAGACGCACCCTTTTTCGAAAAATTTGGGGTCTAAAAACTGGGTGCGTTTTATACAGTGGTGGTAGGTTTTCTTTTACTTGCATTTCCCGCTTTTTTCGCGCTTGTTTTTGCGCTCATACAACTGTATAAGACACACCCAGTTTTTAGACCCCAAATTTTTTGGAAAAGGGTGCGTCTTATACATGGGTAGATAGGTATCCAGTAACTGAAAACTACGTATACTATTTAAAGTTTTGGGGCCCAAGATATTCTTAGCAATAAAAGCTAGCAGGAAACCCAAAATATTTTCACATAAAATATGTGGAATGTCTTTTTATGTATGTCCTAAATACGTATTTTAAACTGCATTTCATTCTTTCAAATGTTTGTTAATTTTTAATTACAAAATAAAATCTTTCATAGCCCCAAACACTTTTATTATCAGTAATCAAGCTGTATAGTGGAGTTAGATTTTTAAAAAATGAACTAACCTGGGTGCTTAACCACTATTTAAAACATTACTGCATTAATTCATTATTGAAAATATTATTGTATTTCTATGAAAGTGCATGAAAAAAAGGCATGTTGTCCTCTTAAAAAGCTTCAAAAGGATGCATTCATAAATTGGGAATTGCACATATTATAAAATGGGGACCTGACTTCAAATACTAAAATAGTTAAAATTCAAATTTAGTAAAAGGCATACTTTCATGACAAATTAAAAGTTAAACATGTTTTCACGCCTTTTTTTAAGTATGGCTTTAAGTTCAATTGGATGCATTCAATCTTGCTACAGCGGGCAGGAAGATAAACACACTGATTTTATACTGATGATATGGCATATTGTTTCTAAGTAGGGGTGTTTTAAGGGCTGGGCTAGTTGGCTAGTTTCTGTGAAACAATAATAGTACATTTATTGAGTGCTTTCTCTATGCCAGACACTGTTTTAAACACTTTACATATATTATTGCATTTAATCCTCAAAGCAACCCTATAAAAATGTTATTACTATCACCCCCATTTTACAAGAGAGTACATAAAAATAAATGGCAGAGACATGATTTGAACCCCGGAGAACTGACTTTAGAATTCACACTCTTAATCTCTCTCTATTACTCTGCTTTCTAAAATGAAACGAGAAATTATTTCAATCGAAACTGTCATATTTGACAAATAGCCAACATTTATATCTTAAATAATTCTATCTAACAAGAGGGCTATAGAATTTTCTCTAGGGACAAATGCAGAACCCAATTTTTTTAAAGTTATATTTCATATTAAATAATACATAATAACTGGGTTTAACCAATATGTGTATGAATTCCTGAGATGATTGCCAGACCGCTTATCTGAGGAAGATATTAGACTTAGGCCCATGCATGAGGTTGTCAAATCTTCTCTGGGAGACAAATAAAATCCTACACAACTGAATAGCAATTCTACCACCCCTTATATGTGGCTGTATACAAAACACACAAGTCTTCATTTTAAACAAAATATTCATGCTACTAATATTTTTAGATAAGTAATGAACTGCCTATAATCCAAGACTTAGGTAAGACTTGTTTTGCTTCTATAATTATCATAATTATCAATCTGTAATTATCTCAGGCACCCACAGAAATGTCATTATTCAAACCTTATTGAAGTTAAACTCTTCTTTGAATTTAATTTGGAAGTGGGTGAGGGAAAGAGGTGGAAAATGGGATTTGCTTTTCAGAGCAATTTTTTGTACTTTCTTTTTATAGGATAACAAGTAATATAAAATTTTTATGTTTTCCCCTTTCTGTTTTAGCTTTTATGAAAAAGTCAAATTTAGAGTCCCAGAAGAGCAGTAATTAACTTAGTTCAGGTATTTGATAACTTATTTCCCTTAGACTGACTCTTACATACACTTTTCTCTTTTTATGTAAATCTGTAACTGTTCCATTTAAGATAATATATTAAGTTCTACCGTATGACCCAGCAATTCCACTCTTGGGTATCTATCCAGAGAAACCCAAGACGCTAATTTGAAAAAATATATGCACCCCTATGTTTATTGCTGTGCTATTTACAATAGCCAAGACTTGGAAACAACTGAAATACCCATCGGTAGACAACTGGATTAAGACACTGTGGTACATTTACACAATGGAGTATTACTCAGCTATAAAGAAGAATGAAATCGTACCATTTGCAACGATATGGGTAGACCTAGAGACTATTATGTTAAGTGAAATAAGTCAGTCGGAGAAACACAAGTACCATATAATCGCATTTATATGTGGAATCTAAAAAACTGAATGAATGAGCAAAGTAAACAGAAATAGTCTCAGAGATATAGAGGAACAACTGATGATTGCTAGTTGGGAGAGGGGTGGGGATGAGGGAGAAGGGGAAGGGATTAGACAGCATAAATAGGTAACTACAATATTGCTACAGGAATATGAAAGTTCAGGGAATATAATTAATAATGTTGTAAATATTTTGTAGGGTGTCAGATGGTCACATGTCTTGCTAGGGAGACCACTTCATGGATGGGGTAGAGGCTTGATCACTGCACTGTACACCTGAAGCTGATGTTGTATAAGACTGTATGTCAACTATAATTGAATACAGTCACGGGACGTGGAGTATAGTGTGGGAGTGGAGTCAAGGGAGTTGTAATAGATATGTATATGATATGAGGGGGCGGGGAGTGGGGTGGTGGATTGGGGAGGGGGGTTGTCACTTCGAGGGGTGAAAAGTATATCTATTGCACTGTGTTGTACAGCTGAAACTAATTAAAAATGTTTATTTCACAATAAAAAAATAAAATAAAATAATATATTAAGTTCTTATGGAAATAAGCTGGACATAATACATTAGCACAAATAAAAAGAATTATAAATCCTTAAAACAAATTAAAACTCCTAATAAAAACAACATATAAACTTTTGGAATAGTTACCCTATCTCACCATACCAAATGAGCTTTTAAACTTTTCTAAATAGTAAGAAACTTTTCTGACTTTGAGCCTACCAAATTAACACTAACTGAAAACATAATTTTATAATGAAAGTATCTGGACCACAGGCAGTCCATTTATAAACTGAGAATGTCTAGAACTGTTTTTAATTTTTATAAATTCTTAGATTACTTGAATCTATTTAGGCAATAAGACAAACTTTTTTTTCTTTTTCTTTGTATAAAAGATATCTACTTGTATTAATTTATGCAGTCAGCTGTTCCTTTTATGTTAGTTTCGTAAAGTCTATTCACTAGTATTTCATGAATCTTGGAATGATATAGGGTAATCATAAAGATCATCTCTTAATCCTAAACCTCATAGTCTTTCTTTTTTAAAGAAAATTCTATACCATGCCTCAATATTTCTATTGATAGTAACAAGAAAGCACTGACAACAAAATTCTAATGATCTGCACTGATTTTAATACCCACTTTGTATTCCAAAATTGGAGCTTAAAAAATAAATTTATTTTATTGGAAAGTGAGGCTAACAAGGCTTCAACTTGTAGGCTTATTAATTAAATCAGTACTAAAGAGCTTTCTCTTTTAGCTCACAATTAGAAATATGTGGGTCAGATAGTCTAATTCCAAAGACATGTATTTTTTTATGAGAGTTCTGTTGTGGCTTCCTGCTCATGGCTACTAGATTTATGACCAGAATTTTCCAGACCTTAATTTTTAAAAATATAATCCATAATTAGAATAGCTAAATAGGCAAGTTGAAATTAGCAACCCATTTAAAAAGATGATACAGAGAGCATGCATTTAAAAGAAAGGAAGCCTAAGATGTGACATTAATTATGTCTTTCCGAATCTTTAACTATGATCAGTATCTCTGGGTGCAGCTCTAGACTCGAAACTCGAATAGTTTTCTACCTCCGATTCAGTCCCAAATCTAGAACTCCTGGACAGTTCAGAATGCAGCCTTGTGTTAAGTAATTCCCACTGCAAAACTCTCTCAATCATACGTGATTCTTCTGTTCACTCTACTTAAAGACCATTGGTTTGCTTAAACTCAGGTCAAACCTTGCTGCCTTTGACGGTGCAAGGTCCTTTCCCACTAATTAACCGAAAATCTGAACACGACAGCTAAAAGGAAGAAAATTTAATTGTTTAGATTCTTTCTATACACAGTTTTCTGCATTAAATTAATATGGTATGGCTTTCAACCATACTTTATTTCTTTATTTTGAGAGGTTTCCTATAAGTTCCTTTCTATGAAGCATTCTGAATGCCTACATTAGCTAACATAGGTTCATCTTTTAAGAATTAAGACATAAATAACCTTCCCCAGGAAGTCTTCGGAAGCAGTTTCTCAAACATTAATTTGCATACAAATCACCTGGGGATCTGGCTCAACTGCAGGTGATTCAGTAGGTCTGGGATGAGGCCCAAGAACCTGCAGTTCTAACAAGTCCCCAGTTTATGCTGGTCTTGCTTATCTGAAGAGCACTTTGAGTTGCAAGGTTCGACAGAACACTTTCAATTAATATTTAAGTTTTGGTAAATAAACGCTCCCTCTCATATTCAAAGACTTAACTGTACCTGAATCCACTCATCTGCAAAACCAGTGATATAATCTCTAAGTCCCCTTCCAGCTCCTTGACTCTATAATTATCATCTCTATCCCTTATCCCCACCCTCAATTAGTGAAGTAGGGAAAGTATGATTACAGCAATTTACTTCGAAGTATGAACTACTTCTTCCACCCGATGCTTTAATCCTTTAAGAAGCTGCTGAACATGGAACCAAGTACTAAGCAATAACTTATCCTTTTTGAACAATAATTCATACTGATTTTGTTATTCTGTTCTGAAGAAGAAATATTTTAATATTCCTAGTAAGAATGCCACATAGCAACTCTGGAAACAGAAGGAACCAAAATCGGATTTGTCAGCCTTGCTACCTTTTTTGTGAAGTATCTGACTATTTTTCACTGAAATCCTACTTGGCTCTTGAAAAAAAGTACATTCAAGTCTATCTCAAACTTTTTTCTCTAAATTATGGTCATTTTTTTTTGGGTCTGGGATGCTAACCGCTCTCCACTCCCAGGCTTCTTGAATTTAAAGTCTACAACTAAACCGTTTGTTAGTGCTCTGACATCCTGAGATGGGTTATCTTGGTCCTTCTTCACTTATCCCAATCATTTTATGCCTGTCAAAGTCAGATACATTTCCAAAAACCAGGAAAAGCAGTTTATATTGTCAGTGGACATATAACAAACTGTAAAAAGGATTTAGATAATCTCATACCTATGACATTTGTTGTATACTGGAGTAATTTGCTTTTGTAGCAAGTTCTAAAACGTGTGTGTGTGTGTGTGTGTGTGTGTGTGTTTGTGTGTGTGTGTTGGTAAAATGGATTCTAACTGAAATATCCTAGGGCAAATCCTAATATAAATTTTAGTTGTTCTGAAACTGCAAACCTGTATGTAGTGGGTATATGTATAACACATACTGTATCAAATCCTGTATGTATGGATACTTGTCTAAGTAAATTTATGGGAAAGCTATGTAGAATATTCAATATCATATCCAAAACCTGAGATTTTGAAAAAGTTAATACTTCTATAGTGCTTAAGACTGTATGAAGTATACAGTGTTTCTTTTTAAACCAAAATTCTTTATCGCTTATTACATCTCCAGAGATTGGAGTGAATGATGGAATACGAAAGGATAACAACCAACTTTTCCTCAGGATAACCTGAAGCCATTCCTTTTGCAAACTTTCTTCAAGAACTACTTCTGTCAGAAAGAAAAGTCAAATCATTCCACTTAACTATTTCGCTAAATGACAGTTTGCTGTAAACAAGATTCACACTTCTAGTTATTGCTAGAAGTGAGCCCAGCCCAAATCTCTAGCCTCACTGAGACTCCCATTCTAATACTCCTTTTGCCACATTACATTGCTTCCTTCTTATGGTAAAATGTTTCCTTGTTACACAGTAGCAGCTTAAAAATAAATTTTATTTGAATGGCAAGGTTAAGTTCCAGGTGCAACAATGTGTAAATTTTTAAAAGATCAAAAAATTGAATAGACAAAAGAGCAGAGTTCAAAATAATGCTAAACTGCTGCTGATTTAGAAAAGGCATTGTAATTATTATACAAAACAGAAAATGCATTTAAAAGGTACCATTCTACAGAAATATATTTAATATTACTGATTCCATTATCTGAAGTTAAACACTATCTTGTAGAGGTTAAGTGATAAAATTTCAGATGAATAACAAAAAGGTAAAAAAATATCACTTTAAAGAGAAATTGCAGATTGAAGGTTGCCATTTTGCAGAAGAAATGATTTTGTTTTGTTTTTCTTTCTTTCAGAGGCTATGTGGCCCCTCCCACTTGTTCTATGCCCTGCCTGGTTATTTCTTGATGTTCTTTTTTCTACTGCATCCATTATGCATCTCTGTGCCATTTCAGTGGATCGCTATATAGCCATCAAAAAGCCAATCCAGGCCAATCAATATAACTCACGAGCTACAGCATTCATCAAGATTACAGTGGTGTGGCTAATTTCAATAGGTATGTGGGGACTGTCAGAGTGTGGGGTGGTGTATACAGTCTTTGGTTCCGTTTGGCTAGGAGAATTCTAGGCCTGATAGGCCATGAAACTCAGCATGACAGGTCAAGGCAGCCTACTGAGAACAGCAACACAAGCTCTTTATGCTATTTCGTTTATCACATAGCTTCTAAACAATACTGTCAACAAAAAGTGTAAAAAGCAGAACAATTTACGTCCTCAGAAAGAACCATCTTCACAGTGTTTACTGAGATATCATCCTGCTTTGATTCTGACACGCAGGAAGTCGAAGTCTAAAAAAAGTTTTCATATTTGTCAACAGATCATTAAGGCATACTGAATCCTATAATAATATTAACATAACAAAAAAGGAAATGTATCTTAAATCATATCTAAGAAGATAAATAGGAAAAGAGAAAAAAGAACCCAGGTATTTTGTATGTAGGTGTCAAAGATCATATATTCATCTTGAAAGCAAATACGTGAGCATATGAAAGGCAGTGTCTGCTTAAATGTTTTGAATATGTTTAATTAGAAGTTGTAAGAGAGATGCAAGTGATGTTCAGAAACAATTTAAGGAAAAAAATCATTTCTTCTGAACTGTTTTATGCCTCTATTCCCATTTTTTTTTTTTTTTAGCTGAGCCATCCTGCCACCTGTTGGCAGCTCAGCGGCAACTCAGCTCGGGCGGTGCATCTAACCGCTGTTTCTCGCACTCTTGAGTGAGCTCTTAACCAACTGAGCCACTCGGCCGGCCCCCTCTAGGCCCATCTTTAACGTGCAAAGGTAGCTGCTATAATTATCTTAGCATGAAGTATAGCATAAATAACTCAAACCTCTAATAAGGTAAAATCAGAAAAACAAACAGATTCACAACAATTACTATGATTATTCATAGTGTGACCAGCAGGTACGCTTCTTCATAGTAAAAAAAAAATTCAACGAGGGAAAAAAAATCAAGAGAGACCTAGAATGCTAAAAGCAAGAAAAAGATGTGACCTCTCTAATCAGAATAAGAACACTGGGGCAAAAAAAGCAAGACACTGAAATTGACCTTTATATTCCTGAAATAATGACAACAGGGCCAAACCTCTGGAAAAGTCTGGAGGTAAAAAAAGTAAGGCCTGTCACTACTCTGGCTTGGGAAGAAAGTACGGTCAAGGAAAAGTCTATTCAGAATGGAGAGATTTGCAAACAGTGAGAAAAGGCTAGTTTGTGGGGCAGAGGCTGAGCTCACCCCCAAAAGCAGCTAGAGAAAAGGCATGGAAAATAATGGGTGACAATTACCACAATTTAAAGCAGAGAGGAGGAAACCTAAAGCAGTTCATGTCAAACGACCCACATCATTTTGGTAAGTTCACTGCAATGAGGAAGAGAAAAAGGGAGACAGTGTAAAGTGTGTGTGTTGGGGCAGGGTGGGAAGAATAGGCAAGGGCAGGGAGAAAAGGATCCTTAAGAATTGAAACATTTAAAACTGTGAAATACGATCAAGCCAATAAATAAACAGTCTGTTGGTAGATGTGGTACTTCAATTAAGGTTGGATAACATGAATTTATAAATCGGTCAAATTTTTATAGCGTTTATCTATGATGTGCTACGTAGTAAGAATATAAAGATGAATAAGAAGAAGAATCTTTATACTCAAGGAAAGCAGATATATAAATAAATTAGACTAATACAAAGCTGTAAGTATGCTGGAATAAAAGAAAAGAAGACCCCCAATTTATTGCTTTGGGAAGGGATCTTACAAATCTGTTTTTTTCCTTTTATAAAAGAAGAAAAAAACAAAAAACTCTAGAGGTTTTTTAAATAGTTGGCTTAAAGACTCTCACAGCTTTTCAGCACCAAGGCCCAGATCAATGCTCTTTTCATTTCATCACACTTTGTCTTGTAGAGCCAGTGACAATTTAGTATCTTTGTAAAAGAAAAAGCAGATGATGGATGGGGTTAGTTCAGTTTTTAAATTCTGCAAAGTGCGGAAAAGAGCTCACTTTCTTCTTTTGGATTTACGGTTATCCTAGATAACACCTGGCAACAGTAACGTATGAAAGGAGAATAAGAAAGTAAGGGTATAAAAAGTACCAGTGGAAACTTAAATGTTATTAGCCAACAAGCTGGTTAAGAAGGTAAGCCTTGATGAAGTTAATGGAATGTGACGAAAGAGAAGGAGGATGGACTACAGGTCAAGAGAGCGTCTATAGCAATGAAGAGCAGTAGCAGCACAAGAAAGGGAAATCTAAGAAGAGATCATGATGGGATAGGATAGTTTTAAGTGGGCTTTACAGATGGTTTCAGGAGTGCAAATAATAACTAGAGTTGGAGCTCAAGAAATACAAAATTAAGGTGTTAGAAAGGTTATCAATGGGATGAAGTCATGGAAGGTGAGAGCAACGGAACAGTAAGAAGACTATATAGCAAGGTGTAACTGAGCCAGATGCACAAATGTCCTGGAGGTTGGTAGGTAGATGGAGAATAGAGTGGTGTAAGTAGATGAAATCGACTTTAAAAGGGAAGTGTTTTGGGGGGAAAGAACAGTGGAAAGATTAGCTGGTAGTAAGAGAGTAGAGCAGGGATCAGTCAACTCTTTCTGTAAAGGGCAAGATAGTACATATTTTGGGCTTGCAGGCTCTATATATGGTTTCTGTCACAACTACTCAACTCTGCAGCAGAACAAAAGCAGCCATAGATAATACGCTAACGCTGGGTATGGCCATGTTCCAATAAAATGTTATTTACTGAAAACACAAAGCAGGCCAGATTTAGCTCTCAAGCTGTAGTTTGCTGACCCCTAGTGGAGAATAGTAAGAATACAGAAGCCTCCTTCTGGTGGTGTTCCTGGGGCAAAGCAGAAAAAGCAGTGGCCTCCATCAGGAAGGGCTCTTTAAGCTATAATAAAAAGGTTATGCAGATAATGGAGTACTTTAAGATTCCTAAAAAAACACAAGGATTCTAGACGTTTCTAATGACTAATTCACTTATTTTTAAATATCTGCTGTTCCAAAGGGAAAGGATACAGGCTAACCCTTCTGTTAGTTGTTTTCCTAATAAGCCACTTTACTAAGCAAGATCATATTTAACTATTTACTTCATGGTATTTAAAGTATTAGAAAATGATCATGATACACATTTCTTTCATATCTATTAGAGAAACTCAATCTTGAAAATAAATTTCATGATTCACATGCTCTAACAAATTTGAAGTAGCATTTAAAACAAAACAATGAACCCCTTAGTTTTCCCTAAGAAGGAAAAGATTAAAAGACATTCATAAACATCAAACGATAAAACTGTTAAATAAAACTGTGTAACCTCAAACAACAGATATCTATGTAGAATTAAGATATTGCACAAATGTACTCTTAAGTCTTAGATCAACTACACTGGATATTAAGATAAAAGTAGGATATTAAGATAAAAGCAGCTTCTCTTCTGAATTCCTTTTCCTTAACCTGGTACAGATCAACAAACAAAAACAGATTATGAGAAATGGAGAATAAATGAAGACATTCTCTATTTCATGAACATACTATATAGCTTTAGGGAACCTTAATTATAAACCTGAAATCATTAACCAATTTGTTTAAAAACAGCAGGTTTGCCTACTGAGGTTCTATTTGTCAAACCTTACATGAAGTGCTTTGACAGGTTCTGCATTGTGGGTACCGGGGATCACAATATACTAACCACGTAAAGTCACTAAATTACACTTTCAAAGGACCTATCTTAGAGTCAAAGGTCATAAAATCAAGTGTTTATCTTGTTTCCTCTTCCTTAGGCATTGCTGTTCCAGTCCCTGTTAAAGGGATAGAACCTGACGTGGGTAACCCAAACAACATCACTTGTGTGCTGACAAAGGATCGTTTTGGCAACTTCATGCTCTTTGGCTCACTGGCTTCCTTCTTTATACCTCTGACAATCATGATTGTCACCTATTTTCTCACTATCCATGCTTTACAGCAGAAAGCTTACTTGGTCAAAAACAAGCCACCTCAACGCTTGACATGGCTGACTGTGTCCACAGTTTTCCAAAGGGATGAAACATCTTGCTCATCACCTGAAAAGGTGGCAATGCTGGATGGTTCTCACAAGGACAAAACTCTGCCAAACTCAAGCGATGACATACTTATGCGAAGAATGTCCACAGCTGGAAAAAAGTCACTGCAAACCATTTCCAATGAACAGAGAGCCTCAAAGGTTCTAGGGATTGTGTTTTTCCTCTTTTTGCTTATGTGGTGCCCCTTTTTTATTACAAATATAACTTTAGTTTTATGTGATTCCTGCAACCAGACTACTCTCAAAATGCTTCTGGAGATATTTGTGTGGATAGGCTACGTTTCCTCAGGGGTGAATCCTTTGGTCTACACCCTCTTCAACAAGACATTTAGGGATGCATTTGGCCGATTCATCACCTGCAATTACTGGGCCACAAAATCAGTAAAGACTCTTGGAAAACGTTCCAGTAATATCTACTTCCAGAATCCAATGGCAGAGAATTCAAAGTTTTTCATAAAACATGGAATGAGAAATGGGATTAATTCTGTTATGTACGAGAGCCCAGTGAGGCTCCGAAGTTCAACCATTCAGTCTTCTTCAATCATTCTACTAGATACACTTCTTCTCACCGAAAATGAAGGTGACAAAATTGAAGAGCAAGTCAGTTATGTATAGAAGGAATGGCAGTTCTCATTAACTAATATAATGATAAGATGATGAAGCAGATATAAATGTACCAAAAATTATATAAAGAACTATGTCATGTATTAAATCATCTCTTTAAACTAATAAGAGTTATGCATTAAGGTTATTCAATTTTTTGTGGACAAAATTATTCCATGAAAAAAATCATTTTGCACACCTGCAAATTAAAATGTTATCTGCATAGCCTTTTTATGGGAGCCAAAGAGCCCTTGACAAGAATGTTAAGGTAGTCAAGTGAAGTAAAATGAAATAAATCAATAAATTTCAGGCTTAAAAAACCCCCAATGTTATCATATATAATTTATTTAGTTCCTAATAGTATGTAAAGCTATGCTGCAAATGAAATAAAACAGGCATTAATCTTGTCTTCGACACCTTAAAGTATAAGGCATAACACAGAACAACAGTGACAGGAACAGAGGGCTAAAAATACGTACACGAAATAATGATAACATCTGGGGATAAGATTGCCATTTACAGTCTGGCTTAGTTAAATGTAGTCATGACTTTGCCTTGATCAGGAAACTGTCTTGATGGAGGGGTAGGGAGGATAGGAGTTGGACATCACACAAAATCATGGGATCTTAGTGTTAAATGGCTGGTACCAGGCATCCACTCAGCCGAGGAGAAAGCAAATGAAATCACTCTTGGGTTCCTAAACCTCATTATGTTCCTTCCCTGAAGAGCATGTACAAACAAACTGGAGGCATGGGACCTTAATTCAGGAACCTAAACTTTAATGATCTTATAAACTCAGATCACGGCTCCCTAAGCTTGCCCACAGACTTGTTTGAACTTTGAGCACAAACTTTTTAATTCACCCTTTCATTATTTCATTTTCCACTGTGAGATCTGGGAATAAATCCCATCTGTGTCACTTACTGTATTTGGCCGTGTATAATGTGCACTTTTTGCCCAAATTTGTGAGGGAAAAATAAGGATGCGCATTATACATGGGTAGCACTAATGCCATATCTATATAAATGTTTTTAATTCTTTTATTTATGCTTATGAGTTAAAAGTATAATTCTAGAAATCAATAATGATATCTGTATGCAAAATAATATCCTGGAATACGATAATAGGTTTTGTTGAACTTATGACGAACTTGCAACATCGAAGTTCTTGGCCTTCTATGATGTGTAAATATTGTAAATTTGTTACCAGTACATAAAATTTCTTGTACCTTGTATCTGTTCTTGTGTTTTGTAATTACTTGTTACATAAAATTTCTTGTACCATAATATGTTAAAAAATAAATGCTAAAATTATAATATAAAAAACAAGTCCCTAAATGTAAAAAAATAAAAATTTGAATTATAAAATTAAAACAAAGGTTTTTTCCCCTGAAAGTTTGGGCCAAAAACATGGGTGCACATTATACATGGCAAAATACGGTACTAGCTAACTGAATTTGCAAAAGATACTGAATTTCTCTGAGCTTCAGTTTTCTTATCTACATTTCACAGGGTTCTTATGAGGGGCGAGTACATGTGGGCACTGTGTAAATGAACAATTCTATCTATTTACTTCTGATATTTTATTTTTACTCTACTCCCATAAATGACGAACAAATTTAGGCTGAGAGGGTCTGCAATGAAGACAGCCCATGTCTTAGCTTTTCCTTTTTGGGTTGACCCATTCTTACGTCTCAACCTATTGCTCTATCGCTGTCCCTTTCCACACAACTCAGTTTAAGAAAATTACTTCAAGAAATGTGTTGGCTACAGAGAAGCTCAGCCTAGGTGAACCAGGTATATATTTTCCAAATGGCAGAATCCTTTCCTAGAACATGGTTCTAATACATAAAACAGGCTCTATGGCATCTGCCAGAAAGAGTGTATTTTACTTTAATCCCCAAATCATCCGAATTCTAGGCACTTTTCCCCACTAGTCTAAGATTTTCTAGCAGCACTGAGGTGGGTTATCTCAAATGAGAGGATAAATAATTTAGGTTCCTAAAAAACCAAGAAATTCTTCTCCATTTTGGTTCTTGTCTCTAATATAATGAGTTTGGCATATGTTAATATTTATATTCTTGTCAAATCACGTGAAGATTAAGTTTTCAGATATCACTCTAACAGTATCCCAAACTGCAGCTTAGGTATCTGAAGGCATATATAATCATTTCAGGAAATCTAAATACTAGAGATGGCAATCACACTGCCAAAGCTCTACCCTTAGACAATCTAGGACTATCTTTCCACTTGTCTAAACTGCCTCCGAATTTGTGTATGTGCTTAAACATATGCACAACTACAAAATTAACTATAAGATCTTTAAACTATTTAGCTTTAATTTCTGAGAAAAATTTCTTTGCTTACAGTTAGCTGAGAAATCTTTCTATAGTTAACGAGAGAGCAGTCTAGTATTTCTAGAAGATTCTAGAAAATGAATACAACTCCAATATAAACTATTTCTGAAATGGAACAAAATTTTTACTACTTTGTTACATAACTGATATTTCTATTTCAGAATACAGTAAAACCTTGGATTGCGAGTAACTTGGTTTGAGAGTATTCTGCAAGACAAGCAAACATTTCTAATACATTTCAACGTGGTAAACGAGCGATGTCTTGCAATACGAGTAGTTTGTTTCCGGAACAAATTATGTTCACAAACCAAGGTATTACTGTACTTTTTAAAAAATCTGTAATTTTAAAGCAAGTTATCAGAAGTTAACTACCCCGTGGCAACACAGAAACTCTATTTAGTAGTCTTACTTCCAGAGAAAAGAAATAGATTGCACCTCTTTAGAAGAATACATTTTGGGAAAAAACACCCAGCTTTCATTCCATTCCATATTTATTGTTGATTAATGGAGAGGAGAAAACAAATATGTAGAAAAAGAATTAAAAAAAGACAAGAATAAAGTAAGGAAGTTACAGCACCCAGAACATAAACACAAAAATAGTGAGGCAGAAACAGAGAAGAATGTACAGAGAACATGTATCAAATTGATATACAATTGTAAATAGAGATATTGTAAAGGTAATTCATGCATTTGGTGGTAACTAGTTGACTGCTAGGGGTCCTTCGAATTCTAAGGATCTATAATGATGCAACATTTTTACATTCAAGGAAGTTTTTGTGGCCTAAAAAATATTTGCACCAAGAATCTCCCTCTCATCTAGCAAGAGCCATCCATATCTGAAAGCATATTCATGTATACACTGAAAATTATTTAGTTTCATACTGTAACAGTTTAAGTCACAGCAAAGGTGACCAAGAACATCTAAGACTGTTTAATTTTAAGAAAGGTCCATATCAGATCATCAACTTGTTCACCTTTATAGCAATTTCATTTGAACAAGTATATAAAGACCAATGCTTCTTCTGACTTCTTCACTTTCCTTTCCAATGTCAAGTTAAAATAATTCAGATTCTGTTCAATTCCAATTGAGTTAATGCCAAGCACAGTACTGTACAAAGATTATAATAAAATCTGCTGACTAGACTGATAACAGTGGGCCCAACCACCCCAATCTATTTATTAGACCAAAATGTACTAGGTTCATTTCAACCTGGCAAAAATGTTTTTCAACAAACGTTCTATTTTTATCATACACATGAACAAATAATCCACAAATATCAGGAGAAAAAAAGTGAAAGGAAATACTACAACTCCCTGGACTATCCTAAGAAGGATAAAATATACATGAGAATTTTTAATTTCCCACAAAGACAATTTCATATTAGTTGCTGAAGTACAAATACATGTTTATTGATGTGTTTGTAGTATTCATATCCAATAAGTACACTTAAAAAGAAGTTTAAAAAATTATGAAGAAATAAATCCTTAAAACATGGTTCAGGAAGGCCAAACATCTTTTTTTGCAACAATTTTAAAAGCAACTTTTAAAATGAAAGAAATGATAAAATGGAACACACACTAAGTAAATGATAACACATCAGAAAACATTTACTAGTTTTAGGAGACAGGACAGAAACTTTCCAAATATTAAAGTTAATGAGGAAATTTGAGAATAAAACTGTTCTACCAGAGCCACTCGGGAAGACAATGCTCTGATGGAGAGGAATGGTGGAGAAAGCACTGATCTATCATGAGACGGATTTCAAATTTCAGTTCTACCATTTAGCTCTATGACATTGGGAAATTTTATTAACTAGTTTGGAATTCAATGTCTTCCTCTTTTTAAAAAATGAGAATATTGGTTAATTTCTAAGTTTCTTTCACTTTTAAAAATTTTCACTCCTGGGAAATAGTACTAATCTAAAATTTAGAGAACTTGGTTTTAACTGCAGCTCCTCAGACAAGTTGATTGTTTAATTTTCTTCACCTATTAAGTAAGTTTTAGACAAAACCATCTCTAAAGTCTTTTCCAGATTTTTTTCTTATAAGAATGGTCCCTTAGAAATAATAAGCATGTAAACAACTCATTAGCTGAGATCTGACTATCCTAGGTAGAGATCTTAGCAAAGCCTAAAAGCGACTCATGGGAGACATCTGCTGCTGAAATGGGATTTAGCACATGTATGAACCAAAGAAAACACAAGGGCAGAAATGAATTTTGTTAGACAGCAAAGCCTTGTCTGGTTAAAAAGAAAAAGCTTTCAATTATCCCATCAACTTACTAATATGCACACTAAGCCACTGATTTATATGATCTGAAATGTAAAGTCACTAATAGAGAAATTAATAGCTGACAATGAAAAAACAAAACAAAGAGACTATCCTGAGTAGGATTCTTTACATAAGCCAAGTTGCTAACAGTATACATACTCAGAAGATGTACTTTTATTACTAAAATTATCTAGTTCCCCAATAAGAATTAAAGAAAAAAAACCAAGCCTCTCTGGATGGCAATAGTAAAATCGTTTTCCCCTCCAACTGTGTCTATCAACTCTAGAGCAAAAATATGGAAAGGCGAGGTCACAGTTTGGCTAGAATGATACGCCCAAGGTGACAGGAAATAGAACTAACTATTCAGCTTGCGTTTTGCTTCCATCTTTTCCCTTAGGAGAATGATTTTTAGAACAGAAAAGATTAAAAAGTAATGTTGTGAAGACTGATCGAAATGCAAAGTAGGTGAAGAGAAGGACTGCCTTAGATGAGTTCAAGTCTCTAAGCTGACGGAACCACCTCCCTGAAAAAGAACCTGTCAGTGTAATTATGGAACCTCTGCTGACAAATGTGAGGAAAAACAGAAACTGACGGAGGTACAAAAAGACTGTAAGTGGTTAAATATTCTGATGTTCAGAATATTTTCAAGGAATAGGATTTAAGAAATTCAAAGTGTGAAGTGTACTGCAGATCTTCTGGGGAAAAAAAGAGCTTAATATACATAGGTTTTGTCAGATCTTAGAAAAGGAATCAATGAACACTTGACACGTCTATGGATTTACTAAGAAACAATAACCAACTTATCATATATCTTGTTTTGGGGGTAACAGACTAGCAGATCTGTATAAATTAATACTAAGTCTTTAGGATTTAGTGAAGGCTCTCTGGTGTCTTGTGAACTTGAACTGGTTAGACAAATGAGGGTTAGAGGATAATACAGAGAACATTAGTATTTGGTTGAATAACCTCATTCAACAAAACTGACTGGTATAAGGAGAAACCAATTAGCTTGCCATATGGGTCTGTGCATTGCTTGGTTTTAGTGAACATTTTTTTCCACAATAGGAAGAAAATATTTGCAGTAAATAGATAACTTCCTATGTGGGATGTTATGGAGAAAATCCTATAACCAAATCACAGTGGGTGTCCAATAAATATTTGTTGAATTATATTACAATCTTTGTAACAAAGGTTCACTTCTAAGAACTTGGGGTAGAAAATCTATACCAGAGATTAAAAAGACATGAGACATTTGATTCATCTAACATGTAGGTACCTTGGGAACTTAATCATGTAATTTCATCACAAATAAGCTATAACAAGCAGTGTCCAAACACAGATAAAAGAAGTACTTTTAACTTTTGTTATATTTTAAGATAAAATAACTAAAAAACAAACAAAAAAAACCCCAGTGGAATGTGAGATTGGGGCTAAGCAGGCAGTAAGAACTCCTGAAAGAACTACTGCATCTACCACTAACTATAGCAATTACCACTAACACACAGTTCAATAGCACTTACTATCAACAGACGCTGTTCTAAAGGTTTTAGATATTAATTCACTTAAATTGTCAAAAAACACTCTTCTCAAATAGGTACTATTGTTATACCTATTTTACAGATGAGGAATCTGAGGTTCAATGAATAAGGAACAGTCCAAAGTCTCAGCTAATAAGGGTGGAGCCAGGATTCAATCCTGGCAGATTGGTTTCAAAGTGTGTCCCTCTTGATCACAACTGAACTACACGCCAAGTGCATCTCCAAACCTTCAAGTCCAAAATATAGTTTTTAAAATCTGCAAAATTTTCACCCTTTTGCATTTAAACAATGTCTTTGCTATGCATTTAAAACCTTTTACTCTCATGAAGGAGCTTCAAGAACTCTACAAACTGTGTAAGAGACAGCATCCTACTTGAATTACCAATACACATGGAAAGAGTACTAAAGGTGTTACTTGGATTTTAAAAATTAAGTGAATAAGCAGAAATGTTATGAAAAAACAAAGAGAAATAATAATTATTTTACTACTTCCCATATAGGTTCTCAGAATCCCAAGACATACTTTTTTTTTTCCCAAGTGCACAGCGCTAATCTAATTGTTAAATGGTCCTCACTCTGAACTTAGATATATCCCTCAGGTATTTTAGTTTCTGTTTAGTTACTGACTATAAAAAGAAATGGAACATAAATAGAATCAGGAGTTAGAAATTATTACCTGAACAGAATGAACCCAAGTGATTCTACAGCTGCCCTCCTGACATCATCATTAACATCACTTACCTAGGAAAAAATGTAAAGGATGATTACATAATACCATGCATTCTATTACTAAACTGATATGAGTGGCCCACATCATTCAAATGTAAACTAGACTTGATTAATGTGTTATTTATTAGAATGTTTTCCCCCAATTTAGAAAAACTCATCTGAGAATTTAATTTCAGGGGTTAGAAGCCTTTAAAACTTGGTGATGTTTAAGATTCAAGGCTACTTCTAAAGACTATTTCAGCTGCATTATAGCTTTTTGTGGGCTACACTGAAAATCTAACCATTCCTTCAATGTTATTTTCAAAAATATTGTGTCCTAAGTTCAACCAAAACACAAACATTTAGAATGTACCACATTCTGCACTGATAAAGGATAAATTACTAATAAATACTGCGGGATGTGAATATCTCTAGGAAGGAGTTAATGATAGTTTTTAACCCTTTCTGCCTGGGAAGATGACCTTGGGCTTACCTTCTCCCAGCACCATGACAGTGGAAACCTACTGAGTTGAGATATGTAGAATGCCCAATGTGTTACCAGGCAACATCATTTGTTGTTGATAGGCTATGTATCTGGATTAGGAGAACTATGAGTGGGAAAAGCCTGCTAGAAAACATGGGCATTGGCTTTCCTGTGCAATGAGTCTCTTGGAATACAGCATGTCCCTTGGGGGTACCTGAAAGCTAATTTCACAGGCTGTAAAAAGAAGTGGTTCCTATTGTTCATTAGATTTCCTGATCCTAGGGGGGCTGCACACACCCACGTGGTCTTGTTCTTTACAAAGAGTGTGTCCCTTGGAGTAGGGTTTCAGAAGTTGAACCCAAAGGGCTTTCATTCATATGGACATACTGCTATCCTGTCCTCTACCCTTCTGAAAGCTATGTGAACCTAGACTTAGGCTATGGCTGACTGTGCCCTGTGAATGAGAACCTGAACCTGAGACCACTGGTGGTGGTCATGTGGTGTGGATGCTGCACTCATTTAGACACTTAGGGTCCATCTGCAAACTTTCCCTTCCACCCCTACCCCCAGAAATATCAGAGTACTTACAGCAACATGTAGCAGGCGTCGAATAGCTTTGTTGTTACCTGAGCCACAATAAGCCATGGCTACGGTATACATTCCAGACCGTCGAAGAATTGGGTCCTAAGAAAGAATAATTCAACATCAATCATCAGCTTATCATTTCAAACAGTAATAAAAAAAAATCATTTCAAACATTTCTACAGTCTAACAGGCATAGTTACATGCATCAGGAGAGTTCATTTCAGGTAGGAAACAATGAACTCTTTTGTGGATGGCGTTTTCTAAATGAATGAGGAAATAAGAAACTCTAATACAGTAGGAACTAACTGTTTGTAATTCCCAATATTCTTGCAACATGCCTGTCCTGCCTCACACTTTCTAGGAAGTATAAACTCAAGTCCAATACCAACAATACCGCCCGGTGGCATTCAACTTCCATTTATCAAATGAACAACAAAGAAGCCCGCTTCTAACTGCACATTCTAACTTGCTTTTTTACCTTATTATTTAATTCTTAGGTACTGAGCGCTAAGTGGAAGAGATATGAAGTCTGATAGTAGAGCAAAATAATTAGTAGGTTTATCAATAAACTATACCAGTAGTTCTTTTCATCAGATTATAGAGGACAATATTACTGCTGACTATCATAACCAATACTATTGTAAAAACAAAAGGAATGGAAAAAAACTTTACCCAAATACGTACTTATTTGGCACTATTTTTTAATGAAAAAACAAAGAATTTTTTATCTTATTAAATGGTTATGAAATCATTCCAAAAACATTATTTCTAAAAGAAATCAACTTGTAAATTTCTGAAGAACTTTTGCAGATCTGCTTATTGGAAAATACTGATCTGAAGCCTTCGTTAAATTTAAAATCCTCAGCTTATTCCTGTCCATCACTTCTAATCAGTTGTTTTTCTTTTCTAAATTCTATTAGGCTTTATATATCTTGAGAAGTTTTATCAACAAATGTAGCTGGGTGTTCTGAGGGGGAACACAGATAATTTCCAGTGAAGGTGATTGTTTTTGTAAATGGTGGAGATAACTGGAAGGTGAGGAAGTGCAGGGAGAAGAGGATAAATAATGTGTGCTGTCACCTTATCACGGCAGAGAGACTCAATGAGAGCATCAGCTTCTTCCATTCTCCCGTACATGACTAACGCAATGCCAACTGCAAGCCCACGCAGAATCTTCTCATGCTGAGTTTCTTGTGCATAGCCGACCATGTCCTCAATAGCTTGGGCGTTTTTAGAGCCCAACATAACCAAACCTAGGGCTAGGCCAGCTGCTTCCCCTAGTGAGTAAAACGTAAAACATTAAAAAATAAGAATTATGTATGTAAAGTCAATAAAACTTATCTTATGTATGGAAGTGGCACTGATTAGTATCAACTATCAAAACAACCATTAGTTTCCTATAGCATTTTTTTTCAAACATCTGACAAAAAGGGTATTTTACGTGGAAGTACATCCATATATTTACAGCTGTTATCCTTTTAAATCTTGACTGAATGCACCATCAAATCCTACAGTGATTTCAAAGGAGACTGTGTGACATTTTTTCTACATTATCACCAAGCAATATAGATAGCCTATGATACAAACAGACTATTTTAATGAATTTCTATTTGCGAAAGTCAGTTATAGAGAGAGACACACAGGATATACCATTCATAAAAACCTATATATCACGAAACATATTTTTATAAGATGAGTCTGACAAATGGAGAAAAATCCTCTTCAAGTAGAGAAATCCATTAGATTTTTAAGAGGTTATAA